TCTCATGGTGGTCTCAACAACGTCCACAGTAACAGCACACATAGGGCGCACCGCACTATAGGGCGCGCCGCACATAAACAGACGTTTATATGCGCCTTATAGTCGCGAAAATACGGTAGCTTATTTTCAGTGGTGTCAAAAGTCCTCACATTTGTTACTTAAGTAGAAGTATAGATACTGCAGTTTAAAAACACTCTGGTAAAAGTTGAAGTATCATCTTGACCTCTTTACTCAAGTAAAAGTGAAAAAGTATGTGCTCCAAAAACTACTTAAAGTATAGAAGTATAAAGTAACCTTTAAAAAAAAAAAAACAGCCGGATGCCACTATATGAATTGAAAGCTCAATTTTTCGACTATTTCTAAAAATTCTTTGAGATAGGGCCAAGGATGAGGGAGGACTTGTTGGTCTCCATCTCCCGATACGCTCTCGTCTGTGTCCGACCTTTCAGCATCTTTTTCTGAATCCCACATTGTAGCATGGCATAGACTATTCGCGTTTGCAGTTTGAAGAACACCTGCTTGCTTCTGATGATTTCCTTTAGCTAACCAATGAGTGTTTGCGTTTTATGACTCATCCAATCACACTAGTTTTCACTAGATGTGGATGGAGCCAATGATCTGCATTGGATGGAGCACATGACGGGAAATAAATATTTATAAACATTAAACCGAAGCCAAGAGTAACGAGTAACGTTTGTTTTAAAAATGTAAGGAATAGAAAGTACAGATATTTGTATGAAAATGTAATGAGTAGAAGTCAGAAGTAGGTAGAAAAATAAGTAATGGAGTAAAGTAAAGATACCTAAAAAGTGTACTTAAGTACAGTAAAGAAGTATTTGTACTTCGTTACTTGACACCTCTGCTTATTTTTAGTAGTGTTAATTGTTTTGCTTAGTTATTAGATATAATACTGTGTGATTGTAGCCATAGGCGGATCTACTGGGGTGGCATAGGGTGGCAACTGCCACCCTAAATGACAGCCTTGCCACCCCTGCTGCCACCCCAGTTGGCGGTAGGGGTGGCGAGGCTTATAAATTATGGATAATTTGAGAATTACGACCGCTAATTTCTAATGTCGGACTGCAGTGAATGCAGCACGAGATGACGCGAGAGCGACTGAGACTGACTGTTTTGAAAACCGAGTGCTGCAAAGCGAGGCAGCCAGGGGTGATGGGGAGAGGAGACACAGGATGAAACAGGTAAAAACTGATTAACTATCTATCGAGAAATGAAATCATAATGAAAGCACAATGTTGCTAGCATAGCTGCAATGCTGATTATGAGATGATAAAAATCAGGCTGCAGAACGTTATTTCTCTAACTATGATGTTAGTTAGGCCTGACGTCTAAGGCTCATAAAGACATATTTGCGGTCAACTATGACAGAAAAGAGACGATCAAGTTTGGTTTTACTCAAATCAAAACGCACAAAGGCATTGGATCTAAATACATTAGTGAAGCGTTTTGCTGAGCAACATGGAAATCACTGCATTCAGCTGTTATAGTCATGTTAACTTTATGTTATGCTCTCTGGTGAGCCTTTATAGAGCTGTTACATTTTGTTTTGGCACCTGAGCAAATCTGATATTTCCAACGACAGTGGCGTTGGATGGAGGAGTTTGCCCTGTAATCGAAGGGTTGACGGTTCAAGCCCCGACTCCGACTTTCATTGTCGTTGTGTCCTTGGGCAAGACACTTCACCTGCATTGTCTACTGATGGTGGTCAGAGGGCCCGGTGGCGCCAGTGTATGGCAGCCTCGCTTCTGTCAGTGAGCCCCAGGGCAGCTGTGGCTACAATGTAGCTTGCCACCATCAGTGTGTGAGTGTGTGTGTGAATGGGTGAATGAATGTAGTGTAAAGTGCTTTGGTCAAGTCTCCTAACTTGAATAAAGGCGCTATATAAGTACATGCCATTTACCATTTACCATTTAATAAAACCAAAAGTGTTAAAAGTTAAAAATGTGATACTGGTGTAAATCCTGCTTAATATGAAGCAGTGTTGTTGTTTCTTTTTTGTATATATAATATGAAACTATCCAGAAATGACCTGTATGAACCTACTCACAAGCAAAATGTATTTTTATGTTGCTTCTTTTCAGATTTGTGGAGATTTTGATGTAACATACAGAACCCGCCTTTTTGTTGATTTTTTGATACAGCAGTATGGAGGACCAACTCTGCCATATTTAAAAATAAATAGAGAAATAAATAAATGCTTAATAAATAAATAAGCATATAATTAATTGCCACCAAAAATACGAACAACAAATAAATGTAAGTAGAAATTAAATTATACAGCTAGTCATAAAGGGATATAACTCTTTTAATTGGCTTCTTTATTTCTTTGCCTTTTTAATATTTACCTTATTTATTTTTTTTGTCATTTATTATCTTCAACTTCATTTTTTCAATACTTATATTTTTAAGTATTTATTTATGTGCATGTTATCATATTTTTGTCTGTTTTAATCTTCCTTTGTATTTTGTTACCCTAGTTATTTCTTCACCGCTATTTTTTTCTGCCTGCCCTTTTAACATTTCTGCCTGCCATTATAATAAAATGTCTAATTACATTTATTTGTTGATTGTATTTTTGGTGGCAATTAATTGTATGCTTATTTATTTATTGAGCATTTATTTATTTCTGTATTTATTTTTAAATATGGCAGAGTTGGTCCTCCATATACAGCTCTATCTACAGCAGATCTACATGCATGAAATGTCCCTTTCATGTTGCCTTAACTGCTGTATGACTAGTTACTGAGGAGCAGATGGGGTAAATGTGTGTTCAGAGTAAACATTACATAGATGTCCAGTACCTTGTTCGGGTGCCTTGACCCATTTATTTCTACTGTGTAGTTCTGCTCACTTTGTTCCAGCTCAGTCCATAGATCTCTGATGGGAAACTTTTTCTGTCTATAGTTTCTTCTTGTGCAAATGCTGCAAAGCTGCCTCTCTGACAGTCAATCTCACACATCTGCGACTCAGCACCTGTGTCTTACCTTAATACCTTTCCTGTCATAAGGCCCCTCTAGAAGTAGTGTTATCATTCTTCTACCTCCTATTAGGTGAGATCTCATTGTACGATGTATTATTAATATGAACTGTTTCACATGAAACACTTACTGTACATACTATTCTCACCAAACTGTGATAACTGGGATTAAATTCAGTGTAAACAAATGCCATATGTTGCCACCCCTAAAAAATTCCTGCCCCCTTCTTGCCACCCCATAAATATTTTTCTAGATCCGCCCCTGATTGTAGCTGATAAAGGTACCATTGTACCATTGTGTTCATTTTACACAGTGAACGATTTATCACTCAGGCTGGATTCACTCTTCTTTCACTAGCAGCCGAAAGAACAGAGACACATTTATTTGGTTGGTGATTAATACCGTTGTAAAGAGCCATAGCAGAAATTAATAAATTGGTGAAAGACAACTGGATTTCTGACAGCAGGAGTCTAACCCTTTTAGGAAAGGGGCTAAAACCCTGGTCAGATTACAGTTATCATCATTCAACTGATAACAAATAACTAAATTTACCCTTGATTTGAATGACCTATTAATTAACTAACTTCTAGTTCTAGTTATTTAATATATTCATAATCTTCTGGCAAGAGGAATGGCACAACATTCATACAAAGGCTCACAGATTTTTGAGCAACATCAAGGTCAGCATGTGATTGAGTTAGGGTGTATGGGAAAATATATGGAATAATTAGGTTTTCATTACTAAATATATCCAGCTTTTTTTTTTTCATTATTTGTAGGACTGAGACCTTCGCTAACAGAAAAAAAGTCATAGCTGAGACCCAATATTGGTACGCATGACATTGTAGGATTTAGTCTTACCTCAACTTCTGCACTTCCCTCCCAGAGTAAAGGGAATACAGCAGTGTAGGAACCATTCTGATGATCCAACACTTGTCCTGCCACCCCTGCAAACAGAGTAGGGTTGTGCAACCGAGCAAGCAAGAAGTCTCCACCAGACCTCTTGGGATGACCGTAGAAATCATTGATTTTTACCAAAACTTCCAACTGATCCCCTACATGCCAACTCCCCCCTCTGTTTCCTGGAAGGATGGTGAAAGTGCTGTGAGCTGGATCACTGGTGTCATGTAGAGAAAAGTTGGTTGGGAAAGGGGGGGTTTCAGGCCAGGCAATAGAGTCCTTCATATGGTTCCATTCAAGGGTGTCTTCAGGTGATAGTGAATGAAAGGAGTAGACGTCGGAGCACGGGATGCTCAGGGGATTGCACTTGGGGTACGTCGAAGGAAATTTTATTCTTAAACAAGAGAAGAGTTTAGAGAGCAAACAAATAAAATGCCATGAATAAAGTTTCTGTTTAAAAAAAAGAATCAACTGTTTATTTTAATGATGTTAAGTGATTCTGGATGTGTAAGAAAAGAAAGATAAGATAAAAGGGTTAGGACAGCAATGAGTGAAAAAATTAATCTGAAAGGGAAACATAGTGCAGAGACCTTCAAAGAGAGAAAGATGAAACCCCTAAAGACAATATCATTGATGCCATCAATTAACCTATCATCTATTTGAGCTACCCTAATATAACTGTAATAAAACAACAGTTTGTTCACCATAAATGTATTTTTTCTCAGCAATGGATCCCTAAGGTTTATACAATATGGCTACATTCGCACTGCAGCTTGAAGGGACCCAAATCCGATGTTTTTTGCCCACAGGCAACTTGTCTGTGATCTTTTCATGACAGTCTGAACAACGCAGATCCAATATTTTCAAATGCGACCCAGACCACATGGCTATGTGGTCCTTAGTCAGATACATATCTGATCTTTACAAATGCAACTTGTGTCTGAACGGCCAGATCGCATTCATCTGACCTGAACGTCATAAATACTAAACAAAGGTCCCTATTCTGCATCTTTTAATGGAGAATGATAATGCAGAGAATAGTCTTTATTTCGAGCATTAAGGCTTGCAGTGTGAATATAGCCAAAGTCAAATACTCACCTCTACTAATTTACTGCTCCTCTCATTCATGATGTTCTCGTTGTAAATCAGGAAACATAAAACACATAAAGTCAAGGAGGTGAAGACAACAGCAAGACAGTAATGCTTTCTGCAATACTGGCCTCCCATTATCGCTGGTGACTCGATCTGGCTTTTCACTGAAGACAAAGGCAAAAAAAGGCAAAGTCATTAGATATATTAAGGCCTCAGTTGTGCAACATGGCAAAAAATATACATCTTCTGGTCCATTTCAAACTAACCATTTGACACAGGTGCTGTGAATTTGCCTCAATCGTATTTTGGTTCAGTCAAGATGCTTATTGATGCTCTCTTGTTAGAAATGGGCCATCTAGTGGTTAGGTTAGGAACAACACACATTTATGATTGGAGAACTTGAAAGTAATGAGATGAAATACCACAATGATAAAATCTGAAAACATGTTTGTTTTTTATATGAATATCATTAATTAAATTTCAGTTTTCTGCCACATATGTATTAATTTAAGGCTTCTTATTTCATAGTGTTCAGCATGACATGCATTTAAAATAGAGCAAAGAACTTCTTTAAGCTGAAATAGCTCACAGCATCAAAGACCCTACACCGAGCATGACACTGGGTAGAGCCTTTAGGAAATTTGTGAAAATATCAATATCTGACAGAAAACAGAAATCCATAACTTCTTGCATATGGAAGTAAATTTGTGTCGCTGGGATTTGAATTAAAAATGCCACTGAAATTTTAATGTTGTTTTTTGTACTTACTGTTTCAGTGTTAAAATATATTCAGAACACATTTTTGACCTAAAAAAAAATTAATTGTCATTATTTCTACAAAGTAGAAATTTCATGTTATTTTCTCTTCAAGCTAAAAATTTACATTCCTATTTCAAAGTGATTACATTTTCAATACTTATTTTTCAGTTTAATTTTTCAGTGATAAAAAAATATGCATATAAAAAAATTCAACCTTTCAAAATTCAAACTCAATATTTTCAGCCTCCTTTAGATTCAACTGGCTCTATTTCACTGTCTTAAATTCGGTGTCTAAATTCGTTGTAAAAAGGGAAGGGTTACTTCAGGTCATAGACATTAGCAATGGATTGTGGTGTCCAACACCCAGCCAATCCTGTTACGGTTTCTTAGTCATGTGACAACATTTAAATTTCAGTGGCATCGTTAATTCAAATCCCAGCAACACAGATTTATTTCCATACTTGCATTTATTGGTTTTCACAAGAGTTTCTAAAACAAACCCATGAACTTAATTAAAACTTAAATATATTTAATAGTTCTTCAGATATACATTTTTTGTCATACTTTTGACTTAACTGAACTGTATCATGTCTGTGCATGCAGAACAGATCTTCAAAGGAGGTGCAGAGGGAATGGCATTTTCCATTCAGCAGAGGGTGTGTGCAAATCATTTGTTACCTGTTTGACATGATCAACATGCTGATCACATTCTAATGACGAAACCATGAAATGCATGAGGGACATATAAATGTAAACATTTATCATGTGCAAAGCAACTTTTCACATGATACATTTTTACATTCATGCTGATAATCAGTGCCTAAAAATTAGTCCCTTTGCACAGAAGGGTTGTTAGAATATTCAGAATGCTCAAAATGTTCTAATCCAGCCTAATCACTTTTATAGATTGCATCACCCCTAGCAATGTGGTTTAACCACATCTCCCTTATAACCAAGACTAGCTGTCAGCAGAGAGCCGAATAAAGTTACAACACATTGCCAAGAGATTTGAGCAAAGATAGGAGCTCTGTGAAAGGAATTTAAGGGTATTTGTAAATACTCTGTATTTAACAGATCATTATGCATTTTAAAATGTAATAATAAATATTTAAGTGTACACAGTCACAAAATATACACTACATTAATATGTAAATAACAGGAAACAAGTAACCAACCAAAATAAAAGCCATAAACCGGTTGATCCAGATTTATTTAGTGTGATTTCGGTTGCTTTGGCTGAAGCTACCTTTATATCCTACTTGTTGGTAGCAATATAAACATCAATGCATGGTAAGTATTAATCTAAACACATGTAACTTGGAATATTAAACTCATACATTTCATTTACTAGAGGAATCCAAGAATCAGTGTCCATTTCTATCTCATACTCTGACCTTATGCCTAATAACGAAATATTCCTTCAATAACTTAAAAAAAGAATGAATGTGTTTGTTTATTTAAATGCGTAAATACAGTGTACAGTTATGCTTAAAATCAACTTTGTAACATAGCTTTGCTTTTGTTTTAGAACAGGCTGTCTTAACCTGAATCAACTCAGGGCCTTATGCAGAAAAAGTTAAGTAATTAGTCATTCGCAGAAAGCAGAGCATTTTGCACTTAGTGGAAAAAAAAAAAACTTGGTCCAGTCCTTTGAATTTAACAAAAGAGAATAAAGTAAATTGAGTGTATATTTTTTCTATCAAAGACAAATGATTGATAAAGTACACTTGACTGATCATCAACAGGCATAGTTTAGTATTTCAGCTCAAAAGTATGCTTAATTTTCTGTCTGGAGTTGGTTATCTCAAAAAGGAGAGAAACTAAATGGAAAAAAAGAAATCAAAATAATACAGAAAGCATTATTAGGAATAAAGTTATATAAAGTTATTCATTCTACCTTGTTGTATCTGCTTCCTGCTTCCTCCATGATCCTCCTGCATCTTCTGCTTACCTTTAGTCTTTAATGCTCACTCCTATTTTATGCCCCACCCATCTACATGCAAATATAACTGTGTCCTTTCATTTTCATTCTAGTTAACCAGTGCCAGTTTTCTTTAAGAAGAAAGCGTTTGACTGCTTTAGTACTTAAAAATGTTTTGTTTTTTTTACTCTTTTGTTTAAAACCCTTTTCAGTTTTAACATTACATATGATATGTACATATGATATGTACATGTATAATGCTAGAGATATTAATGCAGCTGAACAGATTCCAACTTTTATCCAATGCAATCAAATGTTACCAACAATTTGGTCGACAAAAAAGATGGTAAGAAATTCTTTTGAAATCAAAACTGCCTTCTTGTACTTTTTGTGATTTCTTTCAGATGCATTTTTCCCCCCATTTATACAAATAAAATACCTATATTTATATGTAGTGGACTGGGCATATGGTTTGTTAAAAAGTTAAAAACAAAACCACTGGACTTTTTTCTCCATGTTTGAAGACGTTTCGCTTCACATCCAAAAAGCTTTCTCTATTTAAAGTGTCTGGAGTAGTTAATTGAATATTTAGTAAATAGTTAAATGTAAGGCCCACCTAGCATCTCTATGCTTGCCTTAATAAAATAAAAAAAAATAAAAAAATAAAAGATGGAGCTCGTAGTAGACACAAGGGAACTCATTTAAAATTAACCCTTTAAATTGTGCTAATCAAATTTAATGAGTATGTGAGAAAACAAAGCCTTGACTTGGTCCCCCAATGTCCAAAACATATATAATGGCTTATTGATTTACAATCTGAAGACTCAAAATCCAGCTGAAAGAAATAGAAGCATTTAAAAGGTTTATTAAAAGGTCAATTGGTAGGAACAAGAACTGACCGAAAGTGCCTCCTTTAATATCGTAAGACTGTGAAATGTTTCTATTTATCCACAATCCAGGTTTTAATTTTAAATTTAGAAATGGAGAATCTAGTCAAACTTTAGAACATGCTTTAAGCTAAGATTCAAAATCCGGTTGAACAGAGGAAGTTGCTGCTATGGGTCTGAGGTTAGAAAACAGCTAATGCACTCTGTTTAAATCAGAGAAACTCCTCTCAATTCAATCTGCAAAGCTATTCTGCTGTATCCTAAAGCTTCATTACTAAATCTCCAGGCCTGTAAATGCATTCAAAGGAGCATAAATCTACCAAATGTTACATTTATGAATGACTGAATATGAATGACTGAATTGTTTGTTAATTCGCCACAGCGGTCAAAAACTTGTATGCCCTTCCGGATTCAACACCTGTCAATTACCTGTCATCTCTTCATTTATATACTGGAGCCGACAGCCCCATCTAGTGATCACAAACAAAACAAACAAAAAAATAAATAAATAAAAAGAAACAAAAAATACACATATTTGGCTCCAATACACCGGCCCCTAATTGGCATAATAAACAAATATGCCAATTCTCAAACAATAATAATACAGGAGGCAATATGTGATACAAATGCAACATTAATTTAGACACCATACACCATGCAAAGTTTGGAAATTGGTCTCTCGATAATATTGGACTTAGTTTTCAATTTCACTGATCTCACGAAACCACGACTATCTGGAAACAATTCCAGAACCTTTCCAAGAGGCCAGGATCCTTGAGGCGCAGAAGGATCCATTATGACCACAATATCTCCAACAACAAGGTTTTTCCGCTTCTCGTTCCATTTCTGTCTTTCTTGAAGCAAAGGTAAGTATTCTCGAACCCATCTCTTCCAAAACAGATCAGCCAGGTATTGTACCTGTCTCCACCTTCTTCTTCCATACTGATCTTGCGGCGTAAACATTCCAGGGGGAAGTGAAGGCTTTCCTCGGAGCAAGAGCAGATGATTTGGGGTAAGTGGCTCCAAATCATTTGGATCATCTGAGAGGGTTGTAATAGGGTGATCATTCAAGATGGCTTCTGCTTCACAGAACACTGTACTTAGCCCTTCGTCATCAAGAATTTGCTGACGCAGCACTGAGTTAAGTACCTTTCTCACCAGACGAATCATTCGCTCCCAAACACCACCAAAATGTGAAGCGGCAGGTGGATTAAAAATCCAATTTATTTCCACCTGTGCCAAAAAGGACTTTATTGTGTCCTGGTTTAGATTAACAAGAGCTTCTTTCAGTTCTCTCTCAGCACCAACAAAGTTTGTTCCGTTATCAGACCATAACTGTTTAACTTGTCCTCTTCTGCTGATAAATCTTCTCAATGCATTGATGCAAGAATCTGTATCAAGTGTAGCTGCAACCTCCAAATGGATGGCTCGACTTGCCAGGCAAGTAAACAACACACCATATCTCTTGCAACATGTTCTTCCTCTTTTAACTTCAAAAGGCCCAAAATAATCAATCCCTGTATTAAAAAATGGAGGATTGTCTGGGAGAATCCTTGCAACAGGCAAGTCAGCCATTTTTTGCATTAAAGGTCGACTGTTATATCGCCTGCAGATGCTGCACTCACCAATAACCTTTCTCACAGCAGAATTTCCCTTTGTAATCCAGAACCTTTTTCTTACAGCCGACAGTGTATGTGCCCGTCCTGCATGTCCAAGAACCTGATGAAAATGTCTGAGGATTAACTTGGAGATGTGTTGTTCTTTGGCCAGAATTATTGGATGTTTTTCTTCGTCTGGCATTGCACTTCTATGAAGCCGGCCTCCAACTCTTAAAACTTTATCTTCCAAAACAGGATCCAATACATAGATAGGGCTCATACGGCTCACTTTAGAGTTGTGTGACAAGGCTTCAATTTCATGTTGGAATTTCTGCTGCTGACAGTACAAAATGATGAAGATCTCTGCATTTTGAAGCTCTGCCAATGACAAACTTCGACCTTTTGAGTGATTAGTTGTGCTTTGGCGCCTTCTTGTGTTCATCTGATGCACAAACGCATTCTTGTCCATTAAAGGGTCCAGCTGTTTTCTCCTTCTACATTTCTCCTTTAAGACACACTTCAGCCTGAGGTACCAAGCCACTGCTCTTTTAAGTCTTCTCCAGTCAGAAAAATGTGAAATAAGCTGGTCAGTAGGTGCAGGAGTGTCGAGGCCAATGATGTTAACTGCAGCCTCCTTCTTAATCTCTTTGTCGCTGACATCTAATTCTACATCAATCACCCCTTTGGGCCACTTTTCTTCATCTTTCCACAAAAATTGTGGTCCATCCAGCCACGTCCTGGTTTTCAGGAAGTCTGAAACTTTCATTCCACGAGACACATAATCAGCAGAATTTTCTTTTGTACTGACATGATTCCACTGAGTAGGTTCAGAGAAATTTCTGATGGTTGCAATTCTATTAGCAACAAATGTGTGAAAGCGTCTGTCTTCATTATTAATGTATCTCAACACAGATGTGCTATCAGTCCAGAACATTGATTTATCCAGTTGCATATTCAGCTCTGCGTTGACCATGGCATCCACCTTCACAGCTAAGACAGCAGCTGACACTTCAAGCTTGGGAATGGTGATAACCTTTAGTGGTGTTACTCTGGCCTTCCCCATAAGGAAAGCAACATGAATGATGTTTTCATAATTTATCATACGAATATACACAACAGTTCCATATCCAGTTTCACTAGCATCTGAAAAATTGTGCAATTGTGCATGCTTTATGGCTCCAAACCCCACAGGTTTTATGCAGCGGTCAACACTAAATGTGGATAGTAGCTCAAGCTCCTCCAGCCATTTTTTCCATTTGTGCAAAATATCTTGTGGGAGTGCATCATCCCAGCCACAGCTTCTTCTGCACAGTTCCTGCTGCATAAGTTTTGCCTGCAATGTTACTGGTGCCAGGAAACCCAAAGGGTCATATACAGAACTATTCACGGATAACATTCCCCGTCTGGTCAGGGCTTGCTGGTTCAGCTTCATCTTAAACTGGAAGGCATCAGTCTCCACACACCACTGCAGACCCAAAGCTCTTTCCATTGGAAGCTTATCGATATCCAGATCCAACATTTTCAGATCTTTAGCCCTCTGCTCTTCGGAGATGGCCTGCAGAACAACACGACTGTTGCTTATCCATTTTTCCAATGTGAAGCCTCCTTTTTCACACAGAGCAACAAGATCTTTTATCAAATGGATAGCTTCCTCTTCTGTGGCTGCACTTTTCAGGCAATCATCAACATAAAAGTTCTGTCTTACAGTTTCTATGACCTCTGGTGGAAATTCATTCTGATTGTCTTGGGCAGTTCTTCTTAAAGCAAAGGCTGCACAGCTGGGGGACGAGACAGCTCCAAATAGATGGACCTTCATTCTATAAGGCACTGGTTCCTGTGTAATGTCCCCATCTGGCCACCAGAGAAAGCGGAGGAAGTCTCGATCTCCTTCTGGCACCTGTACTTGATGAAACATAGCTTTAATGTCTCCCATTATGGCTATTGACTCTTCTCTAAACCTCAGAAGGACCCCCAACAGAGTGTTAGTGAGGTTGGGGCCTGGCAGCAACTCACTATTCAAGGACACTCCTTTAAACACCGCAGCACAGTCAAACACCACTCGTAAAGTTCTCTTTTTTGGATGGTACACCCCATGGTGGGGAATGTACCAAATTCTTCCATTGTCACAATGCAAAAGATGCTCAGGTACACGTTCTGCATACCTGCATGAAATTATATTGTTCATATACTCCACATACTCCTGGTGAAAGTTCTGATTGAACAAAAATCTTTTCCTGAGACTTCGTATTCTTTGTTTGGCTACTGCAAAATTGTTTGGTAGACAGACATCCATTCTTTTAAATGGCAGGTTCAAGCAATATTTTCCATCCTGTATTGCTGCAGATGTTTCCATAATATTGAGAAACTTTTGGTCTTCTCTAGACATTTCTTGTTTATCAGTTGATCCTTCACAGAAATCATGATTGTACTGGCTCTTGAGCAGTTCCTCCAGCTTGTTCACTGAAATTCTGTTCACTGTTACAGATGGATCTTCTTGAACACCACTGCTATCCAAGGGCCCATTGACTACCCAGCCAAGTA